TTATATAAAGAACAAAACTGACTCGACCTTTCCAATCTCCTCTCTGTGTGTACTGTGTATAGGTTATTATGCTCTCTGTGTACATACCTCAACACGTAGTGCAAATCGATGCCTACGTACTCCAGTAGCAGGAAAGCGGAGCCACGCGCAGTGAAGCTACCCAGACACTACAATAAACATCAAGGGAAATTAACTCTTTATTATAACAATAACAACACTCAGAATCAAAGCTTGCGGTGTGTGTTTGAAGACTCGTTTGGCGTTTAACGCGTTCAATCGCATAACAGTTGCAACGCAGCTCAGTGGTCTGAAGGCCAAGACGTACCTGCACTACATTCGCACATCGGCATTCATTCAGCAAGCGCTCTTCATGCAGACTTGTTTTCTTAGCGGTGCTCGAGACACCCAGTTGTTTCTTGGCGGCATATATTTTTTCCGTTCGCGTGCTTTGTACCTGGTGTGCCCGGTCATTGAGGTATAAGTATTCTCAATAGAAGTATAGAGCCGATTGTTATCATTTCAAGTCCAATAGTACCAGATGTGTGTAGTACAATTACAATTGTATACACATAAATGGTTGTATAACGTTACGCACTATATATATATATATATATATATATATATATATAATATATAGATATATATATATATAATTTAAGAGGGACAATTACGTATGCACTGTGATATGTAGCTGGCGCTAGCTTAGTGCCTCTGACTAGTGATTATAAGTTGTGTATTGAACTCTGTTGAGGGTTGATTGTACAGTCAAGTTGTACATGTATCGATGAACAATGCTTGGTGTAAACGCACAGAGAGCAACGCAGGGTCATGAGCAAAACATGACAGCCACGAGAAAGAAGAAAAGGAATAATTAGCACAACAAAGGAGGTCTCGGACGTTTGCATCGAATAAGAATACCAGAAAAAACGAACAGTCTGAGCGTATTACATATAAACCTGTACATACCACCCCATCACCACCTACCTTGTACACTTTGGCGAATCCCCCTCGTCCCAATAAAGAAATCCTGCTGATTTCTATGGAGGTTGCCTCACGCTGTGCATCTACATCCATGCAATCCAGAGGGATGTGTTCACTATTGACGTCCTCATCAGTGATTCTATTGATCTGTGCTGTGGCATCTGAATTCTCTAAGCTGGGATGCGACTTGTTATGGATGCGCATACTTTTGCGTACGCCTGTAGTGTTCTCTGGTTGATAGGTGATGTAGTCTTCCTGCAGCAGTCGTTTGGTCATGGTGACAATGTAGGAAGCACTGTTCGTGTGGCTTTACCTGGGTTTAATCGTTCGAGCTATAGCACACTGTCAAGTGAACACCAAAACACAGCCCTCAAGTGAGAGTAATATGTGGTGATACAAATTGCAGCCGTGTAACTTTTTACCAAAACCCTGTGGGGACAGGGTTTGTGGAAAATAGCCTTCGTTCAATAATAAAATAAAAAATTTTAAAAAATTGCCGAAGCCAAGTATCGATCTTGGTGCCTTTCGATCTTCAGTCGAATGCTCTCCCATCTGAGCTACTTCGGATGAAAATATAATCTTACCAGTACCTCATCAATTAATCTTGATCTGGCTATTCCTATTCAGCGCATTAGAAGGCTTGTTGTGTTAGGGCATCTAAAATTAGTAATTCACGATAGTACAGATATCGGAGAGGTGTGGCGATTCCTCAAATCGGCCCGATTTTGGCGTTCAGAACATTCGCTCGCTGAGATACTTGGTATGAACAAATTGTGTAGACCTTTGTTTCGTCACATCTACTTGGCTAGTGTACAAAAGCTGATCTCCTGATCCAGCCGTCTACTGTAGTGACGTATGGTTAGTCCAAGAGTGTTTAGTCGTTCACATATGTATGTGATCGGTCCTGTACTATTCTATCGGTCCATAGCCTCCAGACTAGCACATATCAGGCTGATTCTTTGTCTCCAGGTTCTGGTGTACTACATGACTGCTACTATAGCTCCCCTAGTCGTGTTATATGGACTATCATTTAATTCGTCCATTGATTAGGCGACTCAGAAAGTAAGTGGCCGTCAAAATAAATTAAAGCAGGGTGGTCACCTGATGTTCGGCGTTCCACTTCGCAAGTTGCCTGTCTCGTTCTAGTCGGCTGTTCGCAAACCTGTAGGCCTTCCTAAGGTTAGTTAGAGTTGTTCTATAGTTATGAATAGGAATAGTATGCGCAGGTTCAATGAAGTGGCGCTCATCGCCCTAAGTGAAATCATAACCACGGCACGACCTTTTACATTTTAAGATCGCATTCCAGTGCCTGAAATCAACCTTGCACGCACCAAAATATCGTTGTGCTGGTAGTCTGGCGCGGAAAGCCGACACGACTGCTTCTGTGTGCCTCATCTTCATCCGCAAACTGAGAGGGGTAACAGGACCACTGGCCAAACGGCGTAGCCGCGCGATTCTACCGACCAATCGGTGGGATATATGTCTTGATAATTTTAAAATCGATACAACACGATACTCCTTGTTAAGCGTATAATACTCCGTGCTCGATCTCAATCATTGGAGCATTAGTTCGGTATTTATCCGCTGCAACTTCTGGGCAGCTCGTGCCTTAGCCACTGCGGCGGTGGCTTGTTTATTGCGGTAGAGGGGTTTACGGCTGAGTGCCACCGTGGGTTCAGCACAGCCAAGGGCTTCGTGTGAGGGTAACCCCTGCCCGTTTGCGGTGTATAGGGTGCGGTATTTATCATACTGGAGTGGATGTCATTGTATTGCCCACCACTGTAGGTGAAAGCCAACATTAGCCTAAACCATAAACACTAAATCGGAATTGTGAATTTCATATGTTGATAAGAACCGCTGCTGTATTCTCCGACTGGTGGAGGGGTTATGCAAAGGCTCGTAGCGTACATCCATCCTGTGCAAGTATGATAGACATGAAATTGTCAGTATTCACCTGGACGAGGTGTACCCCCTGGCCTATAGTAGTTGGGCGATCTGGTTGTTGTAAGCGGCCACCGGTGATTGTCTGAGACCCGTGGGCAAAGCAACTCGTGAACAGTCCTCGCATGAAGTCATAATCATGCTGAGGACCTCCGTCGGAATACTCCAATCACATATTTGTTATACCAGTGTCCGAGGGCGTTGTGTTATCAGATGACTATAACCATCAGGTCAAATCCAAATAATGTGGAGGATCATCTCTGGACCGTCAGGTTGTTCCAAACATCTAATTTCAGCAAGCACTGCCGATTCAGTGACAACCCTACGGTGTGAATGGGAGTCAGGCGTAGCTTTGCGTCGGTTGTGTAGTCCAGCGTCTGTTGAGGGATCACCGGAAACAGAGTACTCGAAATCGGCTGGAGGTGCGTGTGTCTCTGCCCACATTCGCCTTTAGACATCCGGTGTATCCCCTTCGAGTAGCACGAAGGAATCGACCAAGGTGGTTTATTGAGTACCTAGTTGTAGTCAGGAATACCCGAAACAGGGTTTATTGAATACTATTATTTGTAGATTCCGTAAACTTGGTTTATCTGATCAAGTGCTTGGAAAAAACGCATGACTAAGTTCTGGAGCATGAATTATAGGATTGTTAATGAACAACGTCTTCCCTGGTACAAGGGGATAACGTTGAGATACATTTATCATGACTTACCACACTTTTAACTACTTGATACGTTGTTTCATTAAGAGATAACCTCAAGACTAGTCTAGGGCAAAATATAATAAGAGAAATATGTTCTTCGTTAAACTAGGTTAGCAGTAAGGGCATGCAACGATGCTCCTTTGCAAGCAAGAGCGCCAGTGTATGATGAGGCGCATATAGCTCAGACAACGGTTTTATAAACAGCGGAACTAGTGAGTCGTGAATCTATGCCCGCATTCTGATCAGATAGCGGTAGCGATTCGGACGGAATTTGCCAGGATAATGTACTGGAGAATCCATGGACAAGATGCATTCATGTTCATCGGGAGAACAGCCGTGCCAGATGACGATTAACAGCTCGACATGCTCGAAGAACCTGTTGAGAAGTGCAGAGGTTCATTGATGATAATTATTGGATCGACTCTGTACGGAAAAAACTGGAAGGCATAAATTGAATAAAAGATCGACCCAGCGAAGTGTTCTGATAATGTGGACAAGTAAATGATGAAGTTTATGTGTACACGTATTTGTGAAGTAGTCGTAGCGTATATAGGGTTGCAGTATGTGGTACAAACCCGAAATGGTAAAGACTTAGGCGAGGCACAAGGCACTAGGAAGGTTACTTAGAGACGACATAGCAAGGATAGTTTAATCCCATCAACAACCATCTGTCTATTGATCATCATTATATCAGTAGTTAGGATGCAGACAAGTGTAGAACAGATGGGAACCGCGCAAGGCAATTATACTATGTTCAAAGCAATCAGAACAGATTGAGGACGAAGGCTAGATCGTTTGTGTTGTGTCCGATAATTTTAAGATTCTCGGGACGTGGGGATATAAATATCCTGATACGCTCGATTGAGTGCTCAAACTCGCTATACCCAACAAAGGCCAACTTCTACTACAATGTCGCCTCGACAAAGTCGCGACCAGCAGAACTTCCTTCTTGAAATACGTGAGCGAGATGGATTTTTACCAGAGAGGGATGAAGCGTTGCAAGGCGCAAGATGAGCCTCGCATTCCGCAAGTAGAAGGTGAACGGGATGCATCCTAGTTGGTGAACCAAGCTATCTTGCGACGAGAAATCTGGCCCTCCAGCGTAATCAGCAACAAGACGAATAAGGAGGACTACTGAGTGAACAAGACCACACTCTGCACCCTGTTCGGAACACAGGAACCAACATGGTTGATTCCCATCAGTCTTCTTCTTCGAAGCAACAGCCGAATTCATATCAACAGCGGACAAGGTAGACACTCAAAAGATGGTCCGCAATCCTTGGATTCCGCAGTCGAAACGCCCATGTCATCGCAAACGATGCAACAAGAAGAATGAAACTCGTAGACAAGAATCGCGTCGACAAATATATGAGTTAATGCGCAAGCAGCAAGAGTTGCATGACCGCGAGCAGTGGCAGGTTTACTGTCGTCGGCGCCGTTCTCTTTGTAATTACTAAATCCTTCAACCATTTCTGTACCTGCTCCTGTGGAAGCCGCCTATCCAACACGAAGTTGCGCGTGGATCTCCGTATGCCCATTGCTTGTTTACGTATAACTGAAATTGCTACTTCACTCCCCTCGTTGCGGCAGCGCGTGTTGTTCACAATACCGCATTTGCCTCCAGTTCTGAAGCTAATCGTTGTCGTACATCGGTGGGCTCTGTCGTGTTGTGCGCTTGGCGTCATTGTATGGGTTCGAGGAGGTCGTCTAGTTCTGCTGGGTCAATAGGGGCGAGTGGTGTTTGAATCCCACTTATGTACAGTGCTGGAGCCTTTATCATGTTTTGGCTCAAGGTGATATCAATGCCGATGGGTAAGTTCATTAATGCGAGCGATCCGTTGTTGCTGCTGCACGAAACCTTGGACAGATAAGGACACTCTCGAAGATACCTGATCATCTGTCGCCAGTTATTCAAAACCCAAACAGTGATGTTGCTGTCCTCGACTACGAATGCAAACCGCTGGTGGGTGACCTTCGGGGATGTCAGCGGTTTGAGTTGTTTGTATTCGCTTCCAACATTGGTCAAAACGACAGTGAGAGTGAAGCGAAGAAGGGGAGTGTCTGATATGCGAACAGAGAACGCACTGATACCGGGTGACCAGTTTTCTCATCCTAAGGTTAACGAGATCATATCCCGCCTACAGAGCAAGAAGTACTCCACCACGTTAGACATATCATCAGCCGCCTATCATAGGCCAATACATCCGGATTCGAGACACCATTTAGTTTCAAACATGACAGATGCCAGTACTAGCTTACGTCGGCGCCGTTCGGTCTTCATAGGTTAAGATAACAATTCCAGTGCACGCTGAGTACAATGCTCGACGGTCTACCCGATGACTATGACGAACACATTGAGAGTGAAGGAGGTAAATATGAGTCTCACATATCACAATTTCAATATCAACCAATCCAAGTGCCACTTTGCAATTGCAAAAGTATCGTTTGAGAAGCAGACGAAGCTACTTGACTGGTCAACGCCACAACGTGACAAGGACATAGCATACATACCTAGCTTCGCACACATGGTGTCCTACTACGATATTTCTGTAAACTCGACCCCAAGTGAATTGATTGGAGATGGATGGAAGCAGCAACACGCAGAAGCATGGCACGCCATGAAGGATTCAATCGTGAACACAGTAGCGCTACATTTTTCGGTTGAAGGGTTGTCATTGAATCTAGCAAC